ATTTAAGTTTTTTTGTATTTTAGTTATTCTTCAACAAAAAAAACAACTGCATAAGAAACAGAAAATTTGTTGACTGAGTCAGATTCTAGGACAACCTCAGTCTGAGCGCCTAGGCGACTTGAGCGGTATTCTTGGAACAGAACATGATATTTGACGTACGAAATTCTCACTATTGCTCCTCAACTTCTTCCTCTTGCTCTTGAATGAGAATGGAAAATAAGCCTAAATGCCTAAATCACCCCCAGGCCAATCACTAAATGGTGTAGCAGAGAAGAGAGTGAGGAGTGGATATAGCCTTCCACTTTGGGTATTTAAAAATCCCAGTACCGTCCACATCATGTCACTTTGTGTGGATTAAACAGTGGATCTATTTTAACGGTATCTCTGGAAAATTTTGCCCGGACAACGCGATCATCGAAAAAACGGACACAAAGTAAAATCAGCTGCACTATGAAAAAGTGCCACATAAGTCATAACAAGCGCAGCCGACGGAAGGATCAGAAGCACGGGCTTTATTGCGAGGCCATAGGCAGTAACGGTCACCTCGTACGACAGTTCCACCGCGTACTGCAATGTTTATCATCCACATCAGTGAAAAATCCGCAGTGAAATTTGTAGCAGTCTTAGGCATGTTTAGCGACGGAAATGACGACAATTAAATCTTAGAGAGAAATCGGATTTTCTAAAGCATCCCCGAAACGTCAGGCTTTATTTAATCGAAAAAGCAAAACATCCGAAAGTAGGCGTTAAATAAAAACGATTCTGGCAATTTTAGCATCACTGCCTTTACACAAGTAATATTTTTTCCAGAAATTCGTTTTTTTCTTCTTTCTTTATCTGCAAGGAATGTTAATTTTTTTTTTAAATAGTCTCAACAATAAGGAAAAACTAACAGTTCCTGTGCAAGCACACGGTCGAACCATTTCACCGGTCTCGGACTGGCATATTCGGCACGCTCGCTTCTCCATATTCGACGAATCCGAAACTGTTTTTGGAGAGCTGCAACTTCGTTTAATTTGGGTGGTTCCACTGGAACGGAAA